ATCGTGGACAAACTTTTTCTCAAACTTGAAATGCAAGTGTAAGTTTTCATTTAAAATGGGGTAATGCTGGAATAGCAGCAGTGAAATCAGTGTGATTAATTAGATTTTTATATTCATGAATATGAAAGACCTTTTTTCCCATATTTTACTTTGAGGTTCAAATAAAAATGCAAAAAATGAAGCTCACCTTGAAATGCAGGGTTGTATTTGATTTCATGTCAAAACTAATTCTATTAAATTCTATTAAAAATAGCAGTCATTCCAAGTTTATTCAAAACTGAGCTCAGATTTTCATCAGAAAGATTTGAGGAATTCCTGAAGTTTGAAATTTCAGATTTCAGAAGAATCTGAAAGGAGATTTTTCTCTGACTTCCGAATCCAGATCCATGAAATCCTTCCCAAACTTTTTTGGGGGTCAGTTTATATCCACAGGAGGATTATGTTATTAAATGCTATGTGTCTGTTACCTGATGAGGTATATAGGAATATTCAAAGAGAACAAGGTCCAAACTAATACTATCAATTAGAATTGAATGTTAGAGCTGTGGAATCCCATTTAATACTTTCTTGTGTGCTCTTGTGCTCCCTCTACTGACTCTGCACCTATGACAAATAACAGCAGTGAGAGCAGTGACCTTTCCTGTTGATCTTCCTGGAGAAGAGAAATCTAACTTTTCTTAAGAATAGCTTAATTGCAGAATTCCATTTTAGTTCTTGCTGCCTTAGAAGTGCAGGAAGGGGAATATATTTGTGCTCTCAAATGAATGAGAAGCCTGCATGTGTATGTGCTAGGAAGAGACAAGTGTGACTCCGGAGAGGTATTGAGAAATAACTCCTCTGTTTAGTGAAGTTTGAATGTGGCTTGGTAAATTATAACCAAAATTGTGATTATTTCGTGGCTGATAGGACAGGAAACTGAGTATCAGTGTTTTTCTTTAATGGGAAAAGTCTACCTGTGAGTTATCATTAGTAACTTCCCTCATAACTCAGTGGAGAGGCTGAGGAAGAGGAGCTGTTGGAAGGTAATAGATATGCATGCACTGAATGCTTCTGAGTGTCGAGAAATTCTTCTCTACAGTCACTGAAATCCATGGTGAAATTCCCTTTGCAGTGAAATCAGTGATTTTTTGATGTTGGATTTGGTATGGATTTTTTGCCTTACGGATGAAAAAGGTTTTGAATTTCTGTGTGCTGTAATAGAATCATGATCACTTAACTTCAGATGAACTTCTTTAACAATAACCTCATGTATAAGGTAAGTTTAGAACAAACTACCTCACTGAAGTTATCAAAACTTACCTTGATCATCAAAAATGTTCTAAGACACTTTCAATTGGGGATGAATCTAGGAGATCCTTGAAGGTGCTTCAAGGCCAAAGTGTTCAGTTCAGTGTCATAACTGAAATATCTTGAATCACGAATGAAAAATAACATACATTGTTTTTGTTTGATTTTTTTAGTGTTTTATGTTATATGTATATGATGTCTTTGATCACTGAGATGCATGGATTGACTTTCATCTCCTGGACTTTTTCCGTCCATCCTATGGATGTGTACTTGTGAGCACATCACCTGGTGTTCCACTGGTGACATTACCTTGTGTTGCTTTAATATGTTAAAATGTCCCCAGTGTGATTCCAGAAACTTATTTTGAATATTAATATAAAGTTTATAGGAGCCTATAGAGTTCTAAATGACTTTAAAAATGCTTTATTAGAGGGTTTCAAAAATTTAACATACACAGAAATTTTAAAGAATATTTAAAGAATGAAGCTGCCTACATGCAGGTAGATTTACATTCATAAGTATATTGGTGACACTAGAAAAATGAGACTAAATCTAATCTGTGCTTGTAATTCTTTAAGTGTTGTTTCTAATTTGATTAATTTCCCCCCAAGTATCACAGTCATCCTTCTTGCCATGCTCGAACTGAAAAAAGGGGCCACCCTGGGTGGTTTTCCTTCTTCAACCAGAGGTGAAAATTCACTGCAGCTGCTGTATTTGAGTCATGTGTGGTGACGAGCTCTAAGTGTGAATCTGTCATTTGCTTAATAATTTTCCACACCAGAGTCTTCCCAGATTGTGACCTCCTGTAACAGCTTCTCCCAGGAGTTCTGGAGGTAATGTATAGCTGATGCCCATCATACAGGCCTCACAATCACATATTTCAATATAATTTTGTCTCATGCAACCAAAGCAAAAATTTCTTAAGCCCCAAATAATTAAATTCTCATGGGATGTATGTCTTATTGAAAGAGCAAACTCATCTGTTTCTAACGATTACATGAAAGTTTACAAATCTTTTCTTTCTGAGTGTTAACCTCCCTTAGCTAGGGAGAGACATTAGGACCGTTCCATGGTCCTAGCTTCCTGCTTGTGATGTGAAGCCAGCAAGAATAAGCAAACTTGAGTGTGAACTTGGGCATCTAAACAGATAAAAACCTCCTCTATAACTAAGAAGTAATAAATGTTTCAAGCCACTCCACTGGTATTCTTCAAAAAGTCCTGGACTTAGATGGACTTAGGACATTGGAACCACTTTAAAATAACCCAGAAGTTCTTTATCTTCTCCATTGACCTTAACTTTTGCTTTTTGGATAATTCAGATTTCTCTGCTTTGTAGCTAGTGCAAAATTACTCTGATAATGCTGGTTTGGTGGCATGTAATAGTGATTTCATGAGGTTTGAAGTACAGTTTATCTGTTTCTGCGTAGGAATGGTCATCTTCAAGAAAGTGAAGAGCTCGTACATCTGACTTCCATCACTTTGTTTCTACTTTGGTAGTCTCCAAACTAGGTATGACAGATCAGTTTTGTCTTGTTGTTGCACTGTACTGTGCATTTTGTTAGTATATCTGAGAAAAGAATTCTGTCTTTTGGGAGAGTCTATTTAGTTATAACTGCCCAGATAGGTTTTGATGATCCTTTTGGCTCAGGCTGAACCACGTTTGTGTTGACTCTTGCATATCTAGCTTGCAAGCGTTAATGCAGTACTAGATTGTGTCTCTGTTGCTCCAACCTCCTGATAATAGCTCTTTAGTCTCATAAATAATAATCAAAAGTGAGTCATTGATAGTTGCAGCTTCTCAGCTATAAGGTGTCTGTAAGAGAAGTCAACTTATTGCCTCCAGGGAGGAGATTAAAGGGGGAGAGTGAGCGTGTTTCTGCTTACTTTCTTGGCTCATTGCTTTATGGATATGCAGGACCCAAAAAAATAAATGGTGGTCAAAAAAGAACAAACACATTTATTAGGGCTGTTAGAAAGAGACACTGTTTTGCTATTTGCCAAAGCCCTTCTGAATAGCATGTTTGGCAGCTACCAAATGACATGGCTTGCACAGAGCTGATTTTGACGAAGCCTCTGGGATGTGTTAAAAAGTAAACCAGAGCAAATCACGTACTGGAAAGCATAACTCAATCAAAGAAAAATGTATGATTAAGGGCGACATGGGCAAGGAAAGCTTTGCCAGAGCTCAGGGTAAATATTTGTATCAGTGTGAAGTGAAAGCTTCACATCGCTGATGTCAAGCAGCTGGAATTTTCATTGTTTATAAACTTTTGTTGTTACAGTTGGATTTTGGCAGAAAAGGTACCAAAGAGAGAGCACTTTCCCAGCAAGAAAGTTTGAATTTTGATAAGGCAGCTTGAGGAGCTAGGAATGCAAGGATGCAATATTTCAATGCCTCCTTTAAAAATAATATTGCATGTGGCCACTGATGGTCTTGTGCCGTTTGGTTGCCCAGCTCTGCTGGAGCTTGCTATGTGTGTGTCTGCCTGCAAAAAAAGAACCACATGTGCATACATGCTGTGGAAGATGAGAAATCTTCTGCTAAGGTGACTAACAACCATCCAATTGGGAGACTCGCATAGCTGCTTTAACGGTGCTATCTTGTTCACTGTCCAGGGTTCATTTTTCTTTAGTGAATGTTGCCAGTGTGAGTCAAATATTTTAATGAGGGGAAAAAATATATGACCTATTTGGGGCTTGGACCCAATTCTCTGGATTCTGTCCAGGAGGCTCCAGAAGATGCACTAATAGGCCTCCTTCTCCCACACCCTTTACCCTCAATGCCCTTAAACCCCGGCTAGGAATATGTGCGCTGTTCTATTTTTCACAAATTTCAGTCAGTGACTTGTTCTTATTGGAGTATCTCAAGGGTTTGGGACTTATCTATTTGACTATCGGTAGTTTCTTTCGTGGGGTAAAACTTTGGATTCTCCTCTCTTTCTCCTGGAGAAAGTGCTAGAAAACTTTGCTTTTGCTAAAATTCTGCAACTGACTCCTAATTCTCAAGGAAGGGGGTACTGAGCATTAAAGGGATGTGGGCTCTGCTGTAGGGTCGGTTGTGCACATGCGTGGCCAAAATGCCACACCAGTAGAGCTGGATGCTTCTGTTTTAAGAGCGCTTATTTTTTGTCAAAGTAAAGCAGGGGCTAACCCTGCCAATGAAAAACTGTGCTCGGCAAGAACCTAACAACATTACCCAGCTGCACTAAGAATAGAAATCAAGCCCCTGCTGGTATAATTAAGAAATCTTCACTTCCAGTCCCTGGGCTTTAGAGACCTGGATCACTAACTAATTCCAATTTAGAGAGCTTTTTTGATAAGAGCTTTTGTAAACTAGGAAATAAGCTGAGAATGAAAACTTTTCATTGCAAGTATTTTCGCTATACACAGAGTCTATTCAACGTTATTTAATGTTGGGTCTGTCCTGGAGGGAAATCAGATATATCAGTACTGAATGGAAGAAATACAGCGTGCTCATCCTCCAAAGGGCTTTGTAAAAAGGTGGCATTCATCCACAGTCTCCTATCTTGTATTTGGGGAAAATAGCTATTTCATTCATAAACATGGGCACCAGGCAGGCCTGCTGACTGCTTGGAGCTCTGCAAGGGCAGAAATTAGGCCTGGAAGCTGATGCAGGTTTGGGGGTCTAATATCCTTCTTTTGGCAGCATGATCTTTGTGCTTGATCCTGATCTTATTTTGTTCTGGTTTTGCAGCTGAGTAGAAGCTGGAGTAGGGGAGTTGCTGACTTGCCTTTCCATACAGGTGGTTATTCCTTTTTGCCTTCATTATAGCTCTTTTTACTCACTTATCTTATACATTACATACGTTTTGTAGCTTTCTGTCATCCTCCACCAGTCAGGGGCTTTCTCCTGCCATCTCTCTGAAATAGCATGCAAGTTAAGTGCTGTTCCTGCGTGATTCAAACCTTGTAACCCACCCCACGCGTTCTGGTAGGTTTAAAATCACTAGTGAGATCACCCACCCACTCGTCACCAAGTATTTTATTCATCATAGGGTAACAGGTCAAATATCTGCCTCGTAAAAGTGTGCATCAAGAAACGCCACAGCAGTGCTGAACAGGAGAGGGAACAGCGTTTTCTGTTTCTCATGTTGCTGTTGACATCCAAATCACTCAGTCTTGTCTATTTGCTTTCTCACCTAGGATGCAAAAATGCTAATACCTGCTAAAAGTTGAAAGTTATGCAAATTTGATATATTGGATCATGAGGTGGGATGATACTTATCAAATTCTTGCAAATGACAATTTTTTTTAAGACTTGCCTAATTTTTTAATGTGTGAATTGTATAAGAGGGCCTTTAGTTTTCACTTTTTTCTTACTTTCTAACAACAGTTGAGACCCTTCTTAAAATCAAGTTAGCTTGATTAGAATTAGTTTCCTAATTCTCTTGTTGAAGGATTCCTTCTGTCTCACTGACTTCTACAGTGTGCCCCTACACATCTTTTGGGCATGGCCTGTGACTCCATGGCAGACCACATCTGTCACCCCCATTGATGGTATCACTTTTGTGATGCTTTTGGAAGCAACCCTCATATAGGAGAGGGTGGCCTGATATTGGGACTGTGTGGATTAACTGTGCAGGCTGGGACGAAAGGAATTGCTCCTGGGGTGAGCTGGGCTTGCCTCTCTTCCTCCTTCACAGGCTTGGTGTTCCTCTTGAATTCCTTTTCCATCATGGTCAAATGCAAATATGGAGATATCTCTAGCAAAAGGGGGTTCTTAGCAGCCCTCGTGCTACCATGGTCAAAGGACAGAATATAACATATTGCATGCTGCTTTAATCCAGTGTGAGAAGCTTGTGAATCTGGATTAATACAGTTGAACATAATGTGGAAAAAAATTATAATTTCTGCTTTTCTCAAGCCATGCTGGAGAGAAAAACACTGGTCACTGCTGTCCCTGGGCTCTCACCTGTTGTGGAGCCACCACTGCAACTTGAGGGGCTGATCCAGGCTGGTCAGATAAGATTGAAGGACTGTGGAACCTGTGGCCACTTCCCTGGGCATGGAGTGCCCTGTGTGACGTGGCCCTCCACCTTAAAAATACAGCTTCTGCTATTGCGTGCCACCTATGCCAAAGCTTGCGTTGGTTTCTGACACTTTTTCAATAAATGGGAAATTGCTATGACTACTCTAAGACTGGCTGCTGCTTTCAAAAGCTACAGCTCTGAGCATCTTTGAAGCTTGAAGAAGTTTTATTTCTGATTTAAAGGAAGGGCCAGAAAACACTTTGTTAAAACTTTTTTATTTTATTTTTTAATAGGCATGATGAAACTACTGCACTGCACTCAAGCTGCAGTAAAAAGTGAGATGCTGTCAGAGGCCACGAAGCGGGTGCAAATGAAAACCAGAGGTAAGGAGTCAGTGTCCCCAAATTAATTCCAGCAAGAAGGCGGCTGCTTGGTTTCGGACTGCAGAAAGCAAGTTATCCTTAGAAGCAGAAGTACTTGGTGCAGGAGAACTTGGTGCTGCTGGTATCCGGATGGTGTCGTGGTGCGGATTTGGCTGTTTGTGTGCCGAGGGGGCAGCGGGCACTGTGGTGTGCAGCGCTGCGCATCGTCTGTGTGCGGCTGGTGTCAGCTCTGCCGCGGGGACTGTAGATGGAGCTGCACTCTGCGATTCCCCGGCCGCGCTGCTCGGAGCTGCTGCGCGATTCCTTCATCCCCTTCTGCCCATCGCAACCTCTGTGCAGGGCCCCTGTGTCCAGACCCCCTGCATCTGTGGCCTTTGGGAGCTGAGGTGGCGGAGAAAGGAGTGCAGCCCATTCCCGGGGCATGTGTGGGGTGTTTTCTGAGCCAAAGAAGCCTTCCCGGGAACACCTAATCCTTGGGCTGCTTCCAAGCCCTGCAGCCACGGGGGACCCTCGAGGTGTGTCCCTCTGAAGTCAGCCCTGGCAAATGTGCCCTGACCAAAGAAAATAAATGATGCGGGCTCCAGATTTCAGCAGGGATGAAGGATTAAGTTGCACCTCTGAAGAATGTGCTGGGTGGGAGTTTAACTGTTTGCGCCCCGGGAAGAGCTGGCCAGGCACTGTTGCAACAGCATGAATTGAAATGTGCCTTGTAATTTACTGCTAGCCTTAAGGGAGAGGGGAGGGACCAAGGGGGAAGGAGAGACCTGGCGGATGCAAAAGGTGGGGATCAGAGCAGGGGACCTGTCCTGTGCTCTGCTGTGGGCTGAAATCATCCTGGGAAATTCAGGATGCCTCTTGGAGCCCCACATGCAACTTGCAGCGCTTGATTAGTACATGTTTTAATGAAATTAGCACAACCCTCTGCAAACCCCCTCGGAGAAGTGGTTAAGAGCTGCTGGAATTTGCCAAAATTTGTTACTCAAAAGCTGCTGGAAAGGTGTCATCTCTTGGTAAAAGATGCAAAAAGGACATCCTGCCCTGCCTCCCTCAAGTATTTCTGGTTTCCCACAACCATCTGTAGCATCAAATATCGAGTACATTATGTTGCTGAGCCTTAAAGTGTAAACCCCACAGTGGAAAAACAAACCAGACATTTTTATGTGGGTTTCTTTAAAGGTATTTTCTTAACCAACCAAATCACTGGGCTATGGAAACTATAATAAATAAATAAATAATGATGCAAAAGGAGGCTTATGGTTTTATTTGCCCGCTCTCCTCCTATTGCATTAAAGTTTGGAGCCTTCTTGCAAAGCCGATTTGATGCTAAGTTTTGTCCTCACCCTAGAAAGTTGTCCCTTAGGTAAGCTCCCTGAGGATGATAAACCCACAGTGCTATTCCCTAGCGTGTGCTGTGTTCCCCATAGGAATATATGCAGTTGTTAATGTGCATATATATTAATATGGGGCTGCTTTGAAGTGACATGTTTGTGTGGGTTAGACCAGAGATGCCTGTCTCTCCAGTCTATTGGAAATCGTCTTTCCAAATGTCTTTATTTGTCCTTTTCCTGTTTTAAAGGTATAATGGGTTTTAAATAGAAGCTGTTTTTTTGACTAAAAGGCCTGGTGCTTGCAGCAAGGGGCAGTTCCCAGAATCAGGGGAAGATAAGGTACAAGGGATGTGTAAACAGGGTATTATATTCACCTTTTTGAAAGAAGGTTTTTATGAAAAGATGCTTTTCTGCAGTAGTTTCCTATTCTTTTTAGTTTACTGCAGAAGGAGAATGAATCAGAAAATACATGGGTTATGTGTGTCTTGGTCAGGTATCACTTATTTTTTATTTTCTTGTTAATAACTTGGCAAGTTTCCAGGCGTTTTCAAAACATTCCTGATATCCAGACTGCTACTTTTTAGGCTGATGTGTATTAAGAATGAAGACTATGATAGTACAGTACTAGTGTGCAAAACATGTCTGGGTTCATGAGTCTTACGAGAAGCCTATTAAAAATACTTTGCTAAAACTCAGTAGACAAATTGTTCAGAGGCTATTGAAGAGTTTTATATAACATATGGCCCTTTATTAATAAACTTGTGCTTTGACCAGAGAGTCCATTGGAAAATTCAGAATTAAGGCTAAGAAAATGAATTTGCCTCTTCATCCTGCACTGCTCCAGAGTGTGGTGAGCTAAGGCCATATCAGCCCAGATTTTTCGTCTTAACTCTCAATCTTTTTCCTTTTGTGGGTTTAAGTCTGGCTCTTGCTGTTACTTATATGTCATTTTTGTGGTTGAATTATTTCTCTTCTTGTGCTCATAAAATTCAGACATCTAAGATGATGTGCGCCTTGAAGTCAGACCTTTGTTTATACCCCTGAAACCCATCAAATTGGAACTTATCCTTGAAGACCCAGAAATTGCAGGAATTTTGACTTGTTATATTTTATTGCAGCAAGGCAGAAAGCTACATGCTAGCTGGAAGCGATTTGTGTAACACTATTTGTAGCCTGCTCTTTTTCTAGGTAGCTGCCAGGTAAGAAGTTTTTTCTCACCTGCTTCTTCACTGGTATGTGACATCCAGCTGACATCCAAAATGTGACAGCAGAATAATCATTGCTTTTAGGATCAAACATAAAGCAGTACTGGCACATAGGAAAATCAGGCGCTTTTTGTCTGCTTAAGAGAAAAGAGGATTTGAAAAGTAGGGAGGAGAGCCGTGCAGCAGAGCTTTAGTGCAGATTAGAAGAGCAGAGCATTTTGGCTTGTTGGGCTCCAGACCAGCCTATTGCATCCCTGATTTGATGATGTTTAGCACTCTGGCTCTGTTCCCAATCTTAGGGTAAGCAAGTATTCCCCTGTCCTGGTCATGAAGACCTTGTGCGTATAAAGTGTTTGTATGTGTGTATTTAAGAGGCTCAGATGAGTTTTTCTGAAGCTTTCCTGACCGCTTTTGAACCCAATCAAGCTTTCCGGTAGACTTCAGAGTCAAGCGGGAAGTGAGAAAACTGGATTGTAATCAGAGAAACAGCCCATGAACTGGGAGGTACACGGAAAGGTGCCTCTTGGGCCTTATTAGATCTGAAATAGCACCGAGGACATTCTCTCCCCCTCTGTTCTGGAGTAACCAGATCTGAGTGGTTTCTTTCCTCTGTTCCCTTTGTAAAGTAGCTATGAGGAAAATTACAGAGCAGCCTCAGCCAGGAAATCCATCTGGTATGAGAGGGGGCCAAAGCACAGCTCTGAGTACTCAGAAGCTGCCTGCTCTCCTGCCTACACAGCATCTCCTTGTCCCACTGATGGGCCTTCAGCTCTTCTCCAGCCCCCAAGCAAACCTGCCTCTGAGTCCCCAAGGGTTTAACACAGTGTTTTATGTCCTTGTGGAGGTGGGGTGGTCTTGCTTCCCTCACTCTTGGTATGCTGCATGCAGTCCCAGTGCCATGCGGGACCTTGGAGCCATCAGGCCTACCTGTGACCACCATGGTTGCCCACGATGGTGGAGATGAGCAGAGGGAATGTCAAGGGGGAGCACTGGTTCTTCTCTACCCAAATGTGGGCATGCTCAGTGAGGAATGGGGAGAGAATGGTAGATGCTCAGAGAAAGTCCTGGAGCCAAAGAAACTCCATGGCAGAGCTGCTCAGATAAGCGGCATTCAGGTTCACACCTTGTTCCCAAAACTGTCCCCACATTCTCTCCTGAAAGATTAAATACTCTCTTGGGTTCAGAGTTTTTAACCAGCTTTAGAAGTTGGGAAGGGGAGAAAGGTAGCTTGGGGTTGGATTTCATTTTCAAATTGAAAGAAAACATTCAATTGAATGCCACAAGTTGTGTTTTTTGTTTTTTGTTTTTTTAGGAAAAAAAAATGAAACAAGTCCTCGATTCCAAAATGAGAATTTATGTGAAAAGGAGACTGTTCTTGCTGGGGAGCTCTGGGGTAGCTGGTCCTCCTGGATGGTCTGTGCTGTGCCAGCAGCACAGTGGGGCTGGAGCATCCTGGTGCAGATCCCTCTGGCAGGAGCCATGCTGGCTTTCCAGGAGGCATTTCTTGAAGGAAAAGAATTATTTTGGCAAGGAAAATAACTGAGCTTGGATTAAGTGGTGAAAAGCACAGGAGGAAGATGGGGATAGATGGGCTGAGGAAAGGAACTCTTCCTTGGGGGAATGGGCTGATATACAAGTGTTTTTTTCTAAAATAAAAATTTCTGCAGTAGTTTCCTGGGATTTTGATGAATCCTTTCATGCCTGGGACTGCAGCAACCCTAAGTGGCAGGTGAAAAGTAAAATTGACCACTGCCTAAGTCCACCCCTGCAGTGGCTGTTGCTGCCTCTAATATTTAACAAAGTGCTCAAAGACAGGCCTGGACACGGCTGCATCAGTGTGTCTTCCCGGGCACCTCATGTGCCTGGAGCAGAAGCTAAGGGATGTTCAGACCTCTCCTTTTGCATTTTGGTGATCCTTGGAAATCCTTTGGTGATCCTTTGGAAAGGAGACTATTCTGATTTTTAGGTGGTGCCTTATGTCTCTCCTGCAATGTGGAGGCCCTAACCCCCCGCAGTGACAGCAGGACTCGCTTGAAACGGTTTCAGCAGTGCAGATGACATGAGGAATCAGGCGGCTGACATTTGCAAGGAGACTGAAATGATTCACTTGGTGTGAAGATGCACCAGGCGGGGAGACCCCCGCTGCTGTTGCTGTTTGGGCTAATATTTTTAACTGCCCTAAATGGTGTAGAATATCATATCCCTTTGGAAGACTGGTTATAATTTGAAGAAAAAGAAACATCTCCTTGGATTTCTTGAGTAATGGTTATTTTTCTAATGGAGATGTTAGATGATGGTGATGCCCTAGGACCCTGGACAGGAAGGATCACCACCTACCCTGATTTCTATGCTGCAGAGACCCAGATGATTTTTAGCTGTCTATTTATGAATTATTGATCTTTCCATTATGTAAATGATGGAAGAGATTGCCACCCACTTCCAGAGGATGGTGGAGGAGGTGAAAGTT